CGTCAGTGAGACATCGATCACTTTAAGCTCGATGGCACCAGTCTCGAGTCCGCACTTACTGTATTCTTACGGCAACCCCATTCCCAAGCTGTTTATTGGGTCAGTAGTTCGGTCATCTATCGGCGGACGTACCTGGTGAAGTCCCTGTCGCGCGATTTGCATTGAAAACTGGCAGTGAGCGGTTACCTACCGACAAAGTTCATGATATTTCACTGAGCGCGCCTAACGTTATTGTTGTGGTGCCCCATTGCTGCTTGGACTGAGTAACTATTCCGTCTTGATAGCTATCAACGGAGCACCATGTGTGAGTACTAACCCACCGAATATGTTTCTGTGTCGAAAGATGTCATGTGCTCAAGACTGGCAAAGGCACATTCCAGCAGCAGGATAACCCAAATGCAAAAAGCATCTCGTCAGAGCAAACCTGGCATAACATCCCGACGGCGGCCTAGCCTGAGCACAATAATCCTGGCAAGACTTCATTTTCAAAGGCCAGGCTACCCCGTCGTCCGCAAATTGCAGTGTTTCGGCTTGAGATAAAATTCCTGGTTGGGCATGAGACAACTGAAGTTTCGCAGTGTATGTCTTGATGAGCAATGCGGTGACAGAAATTATGGTGACAGCAGCAAAGGTGAAGGCAGTTCATTCACAACGCGACTGCCTCAGCTCAGGACCCTGCAACGTCACACGAAGCCCTCCCACTTGTTGATGCGCATCTCAACTACATTCCCTTCCGACACTGCATTTCAGACGCGGTAATCTGTGTTCTAGAGAGCACCTGATGAAGTACGGGCGTGCCGCAGCAACATGAAAGGCTGCTCCGGATCCGGCCCGGCTAGCGGGACCGGATCACCGCAGGGTCAGACGCCGGTCGAGCATCGCCAGCCCGCCCGACCTTCAGCCGTGTTTGCTTCAGGCACACAGCGGCGTGCGCCTCGGACACACACGTCGGGCGTCCTCAATGTCAAGCGCTCCAGGCCTGTCTTGATGACGGCCGAACTGGTCCCTGACCCCGGCGTCGTGCCGCGGAGACCCCATCCCCCCCCCCCCTCCTGGGAGCTGGGAGGGAGAGCTTGATGCCGTCACCAATTGCGTGCCAGCCTGCCTCTCCTCCCCCCCCCCCCCCCCCCCTCCAGCGAGACCAGCGGGATACCGTCCGAAGCCCGCCGGTACCGGAAGCTATGCCCCGGACGGCCAGTGGGTCTCCGCCGAGGCAGCGGGCAACAGGCGGCAGCGTTGTTAGCGGCGACGAGAGCCGGGAAGACCGCGTCGAGACGACAAACTGGGAGGGCAATCAAAACAGACGCCGGAGCGTGGCGAGTGCCCCGTCCGATCTGTCGTCAGCACCACTGTCAGCTGGAATGCGTAACGCCCTGCGTTCTCGCGGAGCGTTCGATGTGTGGGCTGACGGAAAGTTTTTTAACTGTACCTTCCTTTTGCCCGGTTGACTTTCAACTCCTTCAGGCCGCACAGCAAGTCTGGCTTATCGCCGACCATGACACACTGCCTATAAAGTGGTCGTTGTAAGCGTAGATCCTGCTCTGATATAACCATGATCCAAACCGTCCGTGCTTACAAAGATGTTACTTAAGATCTTACTTCTTACCGGATCTTACGTCTTACGTCTTACGGATACCGGATCTTAAAGATCTTACGTGCAATGCTTCTTCCTATTTCCATCCCATTTCAATTCTGTCCCTTCTCGTTTTAAGAGTTCATTCATTTTTGCGTAGAAACGGTCTATCCATCCTTTACTGCTACTTGTGCTGACATGGAGCGCTCGTGCTGACGTGGAGCCCTCCATGTTCTGACATGGAGCCCACCGCCCCGCTGAGTCGGTGGGCCTGAGCCGCCTCGCTAAGCTAGTCGGCCTGAGCTGCCTCGCTGAGCCAGTCCGCCAGAGCTGCCTCGCTGAGCCAGTCCGCCTGAACTGCCTCGCTGATCCCGACTGCATCCCGCGAGATGCGGCAGCGTCTTCGCTCGAGGCTACCAATGCCGCGGACACTCACAAACTCGGAGTTTTGGAGAAGTTTCGCGCTTTAATAGCTGGTTTAGAACCGGTTTTCCACTGTTAAGCGGAGATTTACTTCCGACAAAGATTTTTTTAGCGAGCTCCCAATCACATATGCAAATCCATTTCAGATTGCTGATCACCATGTTGATTATGCCGATGACGGTCATTGTGCGTACTGCCGAATGATATTGCGAACATAATCGATTCCTACATCTCATTTTGCCTCTGCAAACTTTGCCTTCAGGCCAAGACGTTCGGAGGCACGACAATGACGCATACTGACGTGGCCAGCTGAGCCGTGAGCGTGAATTGCGCCGCAGACGGGACGCGCAGCCACCATACGAGCGCCAGAGAAAATCTTACTCACCGGACAGATACGGCCTGGAGTAAGCACGCTGGAGAACAAAAGCTAGGTATTCTAACAATAATTTCGGTTGACGTCGTCGTCAATAAATGCAACCCGTCAATACATATACACACACACACATATATGTATATATATATATATATATATATATATATATATATATATATATATATATGATACAGGGGTCTACCCCGCGAGCCGCTCAAACTCTGGCCAACGTCGTCGGCGAGGGCCGCGCTTCCACTTCAAACAAGGATGCATCTTGAGCGTCGAGCAAACGTGTTTACCCCCAGGTCATCGCGATGCACTTGGCCTTTCAAGTGTCATGCAGCAGATGGCCTGAGAATTTAGTGACAACGTCAGCCTACATCAGGAGTGCTTGATTTACGAAGCGGAGGTAGTGGCAGGAAATTACAGAAGGCTCTAAAGTGATCGTTGAAACCGAATTCGATCAACATTTATGGACCGGCTTGGTTGCTTACAGTCGCGTCATCAATTGTAACTGCCTCTGTAATGGAGTTGTTGATGACGTCAGAGTCCTGTCCGACCACCTCGCGGATTTTTTAGATGAACTGCATCGACAGACAACGTCCTGTGCGAATACAGGGCAAGGGGCGGCATCCAAGTTGAAGGGACTGTTCCTCGTTTGAAAATATTAAAGGGAATGCCCCACACTTTCATGTTTTTTTTTAATGAACTTATCATCTTGAAAACCAGTCAGTGCAGTTTACAGCCCTGCCCTTCTTAAGACCTAACTATTTTAGCATCTGAGCTACACGCCCGCGAGGATGGGAGAAACTATTTCGGAGAGCATTTCAAGGTCACCTTGACATTCATGTCATGATAACGTCATTCGAGCCCTGCCATTTTATCATTCATGCGGCGAGCAAGACCAAGAAAAATGCAATGGTCGAGTCGTTCATTGCTGACGTTCCTGAGCATGGTTTCCAAATAAAATGGCCGTCAACTGGTCAGCCATCAATACCTAAATAGCGGAACTGTGTTGTCTAGAGCGGTCTTTCCATTTCAAAATACACGAACAGCTACAATATAACATATCATATTGACAATATAGTCGCCGCTTCATTACGTCATGGAACTTTAATGACGTCAGAGACGCTGCCAGAGTTTCTTCGCCACAGTTGCCGCTGCAGCTGACGCCGTGCCTTAATAGGTGACGCGCCGCAAGGTGGCGCGTTGTCGATTTATGCGCGTGAATTAAACGTACGAGTGTTAGGTGCGCGTGCTCCTGGCCTTTTCCGGGCGGTGTGTTTGCATATTTTCCGTGATGGCATCTGTCTTAATTGCACTTGCATCTTCGGTTACGGCGCTAATCGTAACTCATTCGAATTACTATCTCATAGCCGTCATATGCAGCAACAGCCAAAATGTCTGTGTTAGTTAAGTCGAAAAGCGGTCCGTGACCGAGACATGCAATCAGCAGCGCAATCTGACGGTCTATGGTTCTATGGTTGGAACTCCCGGTGCTGCATCACCGAAAATACGAGTTCTTAAGCAGCCATATTCGTGTTGACCCGGCAAAACAGTCAAAAAGGTGGGAAGTTGGCGTGATGTCTCTGCGATGTCATTGTCTCAGTGCATTCCCCAACGGCGGCGAGTCATGGGTTGCACCAGTTCACGTGCATCAAGTTACAAAAACAAGAGGATTTTAAGTCTCAAAAATGGCATGACTGTGAAATGCAGAGAAAGATGATGAGAACTGCAATCTCTGTTCAAACATCACACGAATGTGGAATAGCCATTCTCGCATTCTGTGGTACATGAATACAAGAACACGCCACTCGCACATTCCTTAAGAGACATCTGCGCAGCTTGAGACGCCGTCTCGGCTGCTTTCACGACCCCACATGAAAAGACTGCGCTAGAAATTGTACCCATAACAGCCGGCCAGCGTGGCTCGTGCCGAGCCAAGTATTTCCAGAATTCAGTTGCAAATTCGGAGGCTGATAATCATATTTCAGCTAAGCACCGACCCGCGAACAGAAGCCAGCACCGTCGCCGGTGGAGCGGCTGGTCGCGCGGCAAGGTACGGGCGCCGGGCGCACGCGTGCCCCCCCCCCCCCCCCCCGCCTCCGCGGAGCCGCTCATATCGGCGCATCTCTGAGCGAGGACGCCATCCGTCAGCAGGCCGCCGGTGCCGCTCCATTGTCGAGCAAGCGCGGCGGCTGGCGGCGCCGGTACGGCAGGAGGCGCCGGCCCGAACGGCGCCACGGCCGCTCCGACGCCAAACTGGCGTCGCTACGACCCCGTATGGCGTGATAATCGCGCCGCACGGAGCGGTGGCGCCGCCAGCGGCGTGCTCTCGCCGGCAGCCAATTTGAGCGCATGGGACGAGCCTTGGCAACAGCGTAGGGCGCGGTACTCCCCCGCCGCCGCCGCCGCGGGTGCGGCTGGGCCTAGGGGCTCCGCTGCCGCCTCCCAACGCCTGACGTCACCGCCGTCCTCGCCGCGGTCCGGCCAGCATGGCAACATGGCTGCGGTTGTATCCAGTTCACGCAGCCGGCGACCCCACGGTACAATGTTCCCGCTCGACGCCCCAGCGTGCAGCCCACGTCCCGCAGCCGCCGCGGCCTGCTGCCGGCGGCGCGGCGCACTCACGGCTTGGCAGGTCGGACGGCGGACGTGTCGAGGTCCGAGTCGACCGTCGGCAGGTGCTCAGCCTCGCGTATCGCCTCGTTGTCGAACAGCTCGGCCTCGCCGTCCGACGAGTCCGACTCGTTCTCGTCACTGTTGTCGAAGCGGTAGCGCGCCTTGGCCGCTGGAAGAGCAACGCCCGCGTCAGACTACGCTCCGGTGATGTGAGCCACACACAGCACGGTCCCGCCATTCTCCTCTAAGCGCCGGCTTGGTCCTCTCCGCTGCTGCGTTTGCGCTGGACTTGGATCAGTCAACAACTACTGCTGTAAAGTGATTGATCGCTGAATTCGACGCGCAACTTGTGACATGATTGATCACGATCGCAACTGAGCCAACTGCCGCTGATGGGACGGCACGGGGACAGGCAGTCCCACGGCGGAGCGCCGACCGGGGCCGGTCGATTTCCGCCCACCGCGCGGTCAGTGGCGAGCCCAGTGACAACGTCCCAAACCCTGACCTCCCAGTGATGATAATTTGGGCTTTGGGGCGCACCGACTACGTTGGTCATATGGCGCCCACACCCTGACCTCCCACTGGGGAGCGAGTTGCTCCCGCGCCGGGCCCGTGTCAACAGCGGGAGTCACCACGCCGACACCTCGACAAGGCTCCTGTCCGCAGGCCGTCCGAGGCGCGTGTCGCGCAAAAGCACACGGCGGGAGGAGGGGCGGGTGGGGCAGCGAGCGCGGCGGCGGCCGTTACCTGCGGCGCGGCGGCCGCCCTCCCGGGCGCGCGCCTGCACGGGCGCCGCCATCTCCGAGCCGTCGCTGCCCGCGTCGTCCGGCTCATCCGAGTCCGTCTCCCAGGCGTTCTTGCCCTTCTTCTTGGGCGACGTCTTCGGGCGCGGCTTGGTCTGCTTCGGGCCGTCTTTGGCTGTGGGCGGCGCGGCGGTTCAGTCCCGCATGTGGCGCCGTCCGTTTCACATTGGCGCAGTGTCAGAAGGGAGCCGCGCTCAGGACTCAGCGCGTCGATCGTGTGGACGCCTTCCACCCCAGGGCGCTCAGATCAGACTCACTCGCAATTACCGCATTAGACGTGCCTGCACTGGCTTTGAGATTGCGTCTGACGCGCCTAACTTCCCCCCTGAAGGATACACGGACGTTGTATTACACACACTTTCACTCAAGTTTCTTGATAAGAGAACCACTGCAGTTGATTACTACGCGCAAAGCGGCTTAGCGCGATCCGATTTAGTCGTTACCCACAGGAACCAGACCAATGTCGTAGTAAGTGAGCAAAACCCTGCTGGTGAACTCCCCGGACTAGGACAGCGCTCCTTGGTCGATAAGACGCAGACCAACGCCATCAACAGCTGACACATAGCCAGGCGTGACACCATAGGAGAAGACAGCGCTGTCTGGTCTCGAATCCCGCACACGCGACAAACATCACAACCAGGTCGCAAAGTTGAGTCGGAACGTGAGGCAAGTCTCCGGCCCACGGAGTGGCGGCACTCTGCGCCGGGCTCAACGTGCCCGCGACCCACGTGCCCGTGTCGATCGCGCAGCACAATATCCGCCCTTTGGATGGGGCAGGGCCGCATTCAAGCCCGTCCCGGACGCACGAAGTTCGCCCAGCGCGCGCCGCCCCCGGCGTCTTACCTTTCGGCTCTTTGGGCTCCTTCCTGGGCTTTTTAGCTGCTCCGTCTTCGGCCCCCGTCTCGTCGGACTTCTGCGCACACGAGACAAGCAAAGCACGTTAGCAAGATGACTCGTGCATTGTTGTCCCCGGCCTATGCGGAGGGGCTTTCAGCGCGTGGAACTGGGATGAAGAATATGGGCACTCCTTAGATGTGGTGCAGTGCCTCCAAGATGATACAAACGCGACTGGTAGATTTTGCATCGGCAGGGGTAAACAGTGACTAAACAAGTCGCAGAACTATACTTAAAACGGGTGCTCCATTTAACAAACAACACGTTCACCTAAATCCACCGCCAGATCATTTCCTCGACAGGCGTTACGATCACAATCCTTGTGAAACATCGCGTGCTACTTAAACACCGATACCAAAGCGGTCGCACAGTTTAGCATGAGCTCGTCGACCGAATAGCACTGAAAGGCCTGCGCCGTGACATGCAACGCCATAGCATGGCCGCCCCTGGTGCCCCGGGCATGGTGACGGAGTTAGCGGCCAGCGGTAACGGCCATTCGCCCCTTACCAGCCCACTGATTCATCTCGCTATCGGACCGAACTTCACCTCCTCTCCAATATCCGTTTCCTTTTCATCAACGTCCTGAATGTCTCAATGCAAAGCAAACATATGCGAGTACTGTTGCCATGTTTCCCTACTAGCTTGTTTAAACCCATGCGTTGAGGCACTTACTCAAATGAGAACTGCAACGCTCAATAGCATCGTGTGCGCCATCTTGATGCCAAAACGACGCACATGTATGATACCACATGGAGCTGGGCCATGACCCACGTCGGGTCATAACAAACGTCGCAGAGCTGTTCGGTTCAAATTCACCGCAGACCAGACGGCCGCCGCCGGCAGACCAGACCGCCGCAGACGGCCCGGTCTGCTGGGCACGGCGCCGTCTCCAGACGGGACCTCGACCATCGCGGGCGGCTCGGTGGAGTAGCCCAGCCCCGTTCGCCACGGGTCCCCCGCACCATACGGCCGGGCCATTCGGCCCGTGGCAAGTTGATTTCGGAGCGCATGAGGCCGGAACGCGGCCATATCGGGCCTCGACGAGCCCGGCAGCGGGCGACTGAGGGTGATCGGCGCGGCCGTTCGCTCAGACGACCTCCGGCAGTTCCATTTAATTCGCCGCCGGCACATCCGCTGAATTCCGATCAGCGCGATATGTTATCGCTGCTTGAAATCGGCGGCCCCGTCCAAACAAACGGCTGTCCCATTTGAAAACCATCGCTGCCAGCACTGACTGGCAGCCGCCCCCCCCCCCCTCCCCCCCCCCCCCACTCCCGTGAGCGGAGACACGTTGGAGACCGGTTTGTTCGGGACCATCGTACTGTTATTCCTGGCAACAAACGCTACCCCAACTTGGCAATTCTTTCGAAAGAGGACATGATATTGAAACTGTTTGCAAGTGAACAATCGTGAACTATTCCCCGAAAACTCTACAAACTTCTGAAACGTTTCAAGAGCGCCGCTGAGAAAACGGCCCGTGTTCGCTGGGGACTGCTCGGAGGGATGTGGCCCTTTACTATCGGGGACGGGAATTAGCCCACTACTATCGGAGAGGAGAGGAGGCCCACCACTATCGGAGAGGGGTGGCCCACCACTATCGGAGAAGGGTGGCCCAACACTATCGGAGGGGGGAGAGCCCCGACGCATCAGCCGTCAGCTGTCGCCAAGCCGAGGGATGGGCTCAGGGCTATTGACTGCCAATCTGAGCCCAGTTTTATTCCGCTCCCCCAACCGAGAAACTATTCCAATAACGCCGTCGGAGAGTATATAAAACGAATCGACTTCTGGCGTCGATCGGCCTCCTGCAGTTTGGCCGCAACGATAAATGATTAAAGTTCGGGCCGCCGGCGGCTTCTGCAGCATTTTATGGCGACGAGAGCAGCCCACCACGCGCTGAGCGGAGCCCGTCGCAACAGCGGCCGCCCAGTGGTCGGCACCCGTCGTCCGCGCGTGGGCCTCACCTGAGGCGGCTTCAGCCCGCACAAACGGGGAGCACTGGCCGACAGAGCGGTGTCCCGGGAACTGGGACGCGGTCACGCTCGGCGGCAAGACGTCGGACACGGCACCGCGCGAGTCGTGAGCGCCCGGGCTCCTCTCTGTATCTTCCCCCGAACATGCTAGTTCGTCTCTCCGCATCGCTCCGTCCCACCGTCGCGACGTGACGACACGCCGCGACAGCCGGGCATCGGCTGTCGTAATGCCGTCCTGCCCCTGCCTAGCAACATGCGAACCCCGGCTGGCCGCCCCTGCAGGGCCGCGACAGCCGGACATCAGCTGTCGTAATGCCGTCCTGCCCCTGCCTAGCAACACGCGAACCCCAGCTGGCCGCCCCTGCAGGGCCGCGGCGGCCGGGCCGCACCGGGGGCCGGCCCCCGAGTCAACCCAACGCCCAAGCGTCGCTGGAGGGCGCAGCAGCAGGAGCAGAGCGCGCCAGCCCGGCGCCCCGCCAAACGACGGGCTGGCGCCTGCCTGCACCGCCCCCGCACGTCTCCGTATTCATCACACGATGCCATCATGCGTGCAGACAATATCTGGCGCCAATGTCATTACATCGCATCCGACCGTAATGATTGCATTCGGCGCAAAGCGGCACGATGCGGCGTCATGTGCCGTCGGCGTTGACCTATACAGACGTACAGACGTACGTACATGACGTACAGGGAGAGAGGAGAGGAGAAGAGAGGAGAGGAGAGGAGAGGAGAGGAGAGGAGAGGAGAGGAGAGGAGAGGAGAGGAGAGGAGAGGAGAGGAGAGGAGAGGAGAGGAGAGGAGAGAAGAAGACAAGAAGAGAGAAAGAGAGAGGAGAGAGGAGAGGAGAGTGGAGAAAGGAGAAAGAAGAAAGGAGAGAAGAGAGAGGGGAGGGGAGGAGAGGGAAGCGGAGGGAAGAGAGCAGAGGAGAGCAGAGGAGAGCAGAGTAGAGAGAGGGAGGAGAGGAGAGAGAGGGAGAGAGAGAGGGAAAGAGGGAAAGAAAGAGAAAAAGAGAAAGAGAGACAGAGAGAAAGAGGAAAAGAGAGAAAAAGGGAAAGGGAGAGAGAGAGGAGAGAAGGAAGCACGAAAAGAGCGGTGGAGATGACGGGGAAGAAGGAGGGAGAGTAGAGAGAAAATAAGGAAGACAACGAGTGAGAGTGGGAGACGGAAAGCGGGAGGGATCCCCTGGAAGGGAGCGCAACACGGCATGCGTGGTGTGGAAGTATTCGAAACTGCACCGAGACAAGGCCAGGTTCATGGGCTGCTGTGTGCTGCGGAACAGCGTATCGTGTGGTGCGGGTCAGTCTACCACCGCAGTGCATCGTGAGTCGGTGACAGCTGGCTCAGAACTAGCGCACCCAGATCGCAGCAGGTTGGTGATATTCAGGATTTATGAGCGCCGGAGCCGGAGGAGGGGGCAGCGGGACGGTGTGCGGGACGACACGTCCCCAGCGCCGGCTGAGCTGCAGCGCGTCAGGGGCCCGCGAGAGCCGGGGCTCTGCTGGACCACCGTCCGTCCCCCAGAACCACAGGAGGCTCATCCCAGCCGGCTGTCGTGGCAGCGCAATGGAGCGCTGCCTGCGTGCGCGTCTCAGCGTAGAGCGGATTCGCCGGCACTTGATGACAAGCTCAGCGCACTTCTTATCGGCGGTGGCGGATCCTGCGAGGTGGCGAGGGCGGCGCAATGCTTACTGAACTTGCTTTTCCATTCCGCGGCACAGGGTTCATGCCATTGTTTCTAAAGCCTTACGGAATGCCGGAGTGAGACGACACACAAGCTATGTAAGAGTTAAGGAGCTCCGACTCATCAAGTCGGGCAAAGCGCTGCCTGAGCGCCTCTGCGAAGATCTGCCGTGACAGCTGGAAGGCACTCGGACCCATCCACCGCAAATGGTGCGCCAAACGCGCAGCATCACGTGACGCTGGCGCGAATTCCGCACCGGAAATCATCATCCGACGCCGCCAAAGGGACAGCATCCACCTCGCTGGACATCTGAATCCGCCTCCGGATTCTGAGCGCACGCCGAGTGACGCGAGCGGGGATAAGCCGGACGGGGTCTTCGGCACGAGCCCGAGCACTCGCAGCTCCGTCAATGCAGTCAATGGGCGCCCAGCTGATGAGCTCTGCGCTTCAAACAATGCCCCATCTTTTCGGCCGCCGGTCTCAAGTTTCGCACAGCGCAACTGCAGTCGCACTGAGACCAACTTTTACGTCGCACTTCAATTGGAGCGTGTCGGCGCACCAGCCGACTACAGCTGTGCGCCGCCGATCGTGCAAGTCACCGTTGGCACCCGGATCAAAACGTCACGTCAGTGAACGGTTCAAGGCACATACGACCGCATGATGAGATCCAAAACAGTGAAAGTTCCAGAACTGGCTCATGAGACTCGCTAACAAATGTCTGGCCAGGTGAACAGGGCAGCTGTGGCCCGGGCCCGATTCCTGCCGGCCGGCGCCTCCAGCGTGACCGGCATGCGCTCGCCGGAGCGTGGCGACGCCGCGGACGTCAGCAGCTGGGCGCGGCGATGGCCGGCCTACCGATCAGTGCAATTACCAGGGCGCCGGGGCCCAGCGGAACATCGGGCCGGTCTCCCGCTCAGCAGGGTGTCTGGGGCGTTGTGTGGGCCTTCCTCAATGGCGCCTCACGGTGCAACAGATCAGTCCGACATAAAATTGGATGGGGCAACTACGCGGGCGGCAGTGCGTAGCAGGCACTGCCAAAACGGACTTACAATTTGCGGGGAGCTTATAAGTACCAGTGGATACGAACCAGTACTGTATTTCGAGGCACGGACCGAACAATGCAATAACCGACGTGAGTTATCGTCATGTACGCGCTACCCTCAGGAACAAGAATGGGGCCAGTGGCGCTTGAACACCAGTATAAATGGGTCTTGTCAACTGATCAATTGGCATGTTCATCCATGACCTTAGCAAGCAGAAATGAATTGATGCAAAGCGTTCGTGCACCCACTGACGGATGACACTGCTAAACACTGGCCGGCCTTGGGCTTGACAAGGTCTAGGATTTTTAGCTGACCAATCATCGATTCCTTGACGTTTTCTATAACTGTGGCCAGCGTTGATGAGTTCGGCCAGACCAGCACTGACGTCATAGCCCAAGCCATCTCGCTTCAGGCACCAGCACGCGACATCCGAGACGGGGTCTTGAGAAGGCGATAATTGCCGTTCCCTGGTCAGCTAATGACGTTGGTCTGGGTGCTACAGCGTTGAGCTCGTATGCTGTTCAGGAGACAGTACGCACATCTGCCTGCTACTGTTCAGGAGACAGTACGCATATCTGTTTACTACTGTTCAGGAGACAGTACGCACATCTGTTTACTACTGTTCAGGAGACAGTACGCACATCTGTTTACTACTGTTCAGGAGACAGTACGCACATCTGTTTACTACTGTTCTATACTATTATCTCCTACTATCTCTTACTATCTCCTCAACTGCCGAGATCCAACATCAATCCCCAAACACAGCCCAGCGTCGCCGAAGCCAGGGTATGCTCTAGAATGTGGATGCCCGACTGAAGACATCGACCCTAAATTTGCCAGCGCGTTGCCCGTTCTCGCTCCCATCGAACGGCATCAAACTTTCTCCACGTGGCGGGCTCAGCTCGGCGAAATCCGGGCCTGGCTTCGGCCAGTGGTCTCCAAGCCTTCTCCCAGTTTGCGAACTGGAAGCCTTTCATTTTAGACGAATGGAATTCCTCATGCATTTCAATACTGCAGGATACATTTGTCTGGCTAAAACGACGTGTGCGCACAAACGTTCATAATAGCAACGCTTAACTTCTACGCAAGTGTACCCCTTTATACTAGCACCTGCATGGCGGCACGGTCGGTGCTTGCCGGCACATCAGCCGGCCAAGGGCGTGACCGGCGCGACCGGCCGGGCCGTCGAGACCAGCACATTCCTGATAAACGGATTAGATAGGACCGGCTCGCCCCGCGGCCTTGCCCGTAATCATTGTTACTTCTCAATATGCACCAACGTCAACACAAATGTTATCCACACTCGTAAAGCGGGCAACAGCATGCGCGGTGGTGTAGGAACGCCCAAAAAGCCGGGCAGGGCAAACACCTGGTCCTGAGCGTTATCTTGTTTATACATCACCACAGGGTTAATGTCACACCTTCATCAAAGATAGGTGTGTGTGTGGGGGGGGGGGGGGGGAGGGAATGTCGGCGGCACAACTGCCTCCCCACCTGACGCGTTCTCCCCCTGTTTTCCATTAGACGAACGGACGGAACAACCGCGCCCAGCACCCAATTAACGACTGACAACAGCCGCTCCAACGTTGTGTCAGCATGGGAGTTGAAGACGCCACAGCCAGCATCACCCCCACCACCGCCTCCACCCCGCCGGCGGGTCGCCTGCAGAGGTCGCAGACGTGCGGCGGCGCGTGTCTATTGGGGCTGCTGGGGAGGGACGAGGGGAACCAGACCGGCGGTCTGGCCGGCGCCATCTGCCCGTGTCGGCGGCGGCCGGAGCGGCCGACCGCCGCCGCCGGTGCGCGCCCCACGGCTGGCCGGGACGCCGGAGCGCCCGTCGGCGCCGCGCCTGGCACAGCCAGCAGGCGGCGGCGCCGGCGGCGCTTCGCGTTGCACCAGGTGTGACGCTCCTGTCCCGACTTAAGTCGGTAGTTGCCGTAGTTGACATTTTACAACTTGGTACAAGCAGGTATGCTCATTTAAGAATATTGCGAGAATCTGTGTGCAAATATTTACGATGCTATGGAGCTTCAGGAATTTCCCTACGAAAGAATGCCTTTCTTCCTCACACACGCTGCTTTCAGCAATACACATTCAGTTGGAGCAGCTTGAAGCACGGGCATGAAAACAACATTTTAAAATTGCTTTGAAGGTCTTTTGTTGCATTCCCATCACGGAAAAATGCAAGTAGCAGACATGCCAGTCGCGTGCAGCCAGGGGCAGAATCGGAAGGCCAGCAAGCAGCTGATCTCAGTCGGTCGCAAGCTTCCGCTCGAAGTGGTTTGACCCTGTGCGAAACTTTGGCCCGACATCGGCGGCAGCTGAGTGACGCCCACCGTACACACGTCCGGTGGAACGGCTTCTAATATCAAGCCTCCCTAGCCACCGAGTCACATCCGGGCAAACGGCTGTTGAAAAACTGTCGGAAATAACCGCAAATTGCGCCGGCGCCACGGCACGGCATCGCTGCGCGATCTCGTCGCCCGGCGAGCAACAGCCTACTCCGCTCGGCTCCCATCCCCAGGCGGGGACACAGTCGCCGCCCGCTCGGGAATGTCGGCACGCCACCGTGCCCCCCCCCCCCCCCCCCCCCCCCGCTTGACCACATGCGCTCGGCGAGCGACAGCCTCCACCTGGCTCCCATTACAGGCGAAGGCACGTCACCGCCCGTGCGGTCCCGACATCCGGCGAGCGGCAGCCTTCGCCTGGCTGCCGTCCACAAGCAGGGGAACACGTCGGAAACCGCTCGGAAACGTCGGCTCGCCACCGGGACACGATTCGCCGCGTCGTTCTCTCTCCCCCCCCCCCCCCCCCCCCCTCTGCCCGCCTGATCCTGACCACATGCGCCCGACACTTTTCTGCGCGGTGCTTTGTAACGGGGCGGCCAATCCATGATCGGCATGGAAAAAGTTTACACTGGCAAATCAAGTGTAAAGGTGCCAACTACCCTAGCCCAGATTTCATTTTTGAGAGCCGAGCCGATCGACCCCGAAAACCCGAGATGGTTCCACCGACCCCTGTGCCGTAGGCATTATTGCATTATGACGCATCAGCGGTCGTAGGCGACTTGGCCCGGCCACCACCTACCAGAATGCGTGTTCATGCGGCCTGACTCACCCTCTTCCGTCCGCGCCCGCCGCCTTCCTTCTTGGTCTGCGCCACCTCCAGCCGCTTCTTGACGTCGGCGGTGATGGTGGGCGCCACGCGCCGCGCCGATGGCGACGGCATGTACTCCACCACGGTCGTCTGCATGGTCACAAGAACGAGTCAGCCTTGGGGCGTGGCGGATCAGCCCCACGTCAGCAAACAGTACAGATACTGCGGGTCGCGGGCGCGGGTTAAACTCGTTGGCAGTTGGCGGCTGCCGACCAGTTCTCAGCGTCGGCGGGCCGCCGGCCGCTGGACGCGTCCGCCGGGGAAGCGACCGGTGGAAAAACACCCTGCGAAACACGCCTAGCACGCGCGAATTTCTGGCATTTTTTCAATTTCGGCTTTATTTTGTCTTGCTTTTCCACCAAAGGGTTTATGTTCAAGCTGAGCGGAATGGTGACGGAGGAGAGAAAAAGAGCGAGAGAGCGAGAAAGCGAGACAGAAACAAAGACAGAGAGGGAGAGACACAGACACAGACAGAGGGGAGGGAGGGACGGAGGGAGGGAAGAAGGGGGAGAGAGAGGGAAAGAGCGAGCCAGAGAGCGGGGGAGAGAAAGATGAAAGAACGAGAAAGGGTGGCAGCCAGGATGCGGAAGGAGGAAAGGGGGGCGGGCGGGCGGGCGGGAGGGCGGGAGGGAGGTGAGGGAGGGAAGGGAGGGAGGGAGGACGAGAGAAGCGAGACAGAGACAGAGACAGAGACAGAGACAGAGACAGAGACAGAGACAGAGACAGAGACAGAGACAGAGACAGAGACAGAGACAGAGACAGAGACAGAGACAGAGACAGAGACAGAGACAGAGACAAGAAGACAGAGACAGAGACAGAGACAGAGACAGAGACAGAGACAGAGACAGAGACAGAGACAGAGGACAGAGACAGAGACAGAGACAGAGACAGAGACAGAGACAGAGACAGAGACAGAGACAGAGACAGAGACAGAGACAGAGACAGAGACAGAGACAGAGACAGAGACAGAGACAGAGACGAGAGCAGAGAGAGAGAGAGAGAGAGAGAGAGAGAGAGAGAGAGAGAGAGAGAGAGAGAGGAGAGAGAGAGAGAGAGAGAGAGAGAGAGAGAGAGAGAGAGAGAGAGAGAGAGAGAGAGAGAGAGAGAGAGAGAGAGAATGATGATGATGAAGCACATTTTGCTCAAAACAATTCTGCTCTCCTGTTTATCATTCTGGTTCGCATGTTGCTGCTCAAACTTGCTTGTCGGCACAAAAAACCTATGTGAGAACATTCTTGTTTGATTATGGCTTGTTCCCACAAGCCCCAGATTTAGCAACAAACACGTCGCTGAGCTACGTGCCGGCACAACCGGCGCGTTCCCAGGATCACTTGTATTTTGCATTGAGATGTGAGCCTCCAAGTAGTTTCATTCTGCAGGGGCCAACCCCGAACTTCCACGTGGCTGCACCTGTTAATTCTGACTGTGCTTCTAACCAAAAAAAGATTCATGATCATGTATTGCCATGACATTATTTCCGTGTATTCAACGGCGTTCATATAAAACTGTGATGATATTCATAAACTTCATTTTGCTCCTGGGCAAAACCAATCCACCTCCACAGCAGTCACTATAGTTTGAGCGGCGGGGTTTGCGGACTGTCCATTCCCACCAGGCTGCTTTGGTATGCCGGATTCGACATCCCAAGACGTAGATTAATTGGTACTTACCGCTAGTACTTGAATGGTTGGCTAACTGGGCGATGACTGAAGGACTCTGGAGCCGTCCACGGCTGGCTATGAGAGCATGAGCTTGAACTATTGTTTGGGTGGTGCGCCGTGGCGCGAAAGACTTGGCTCAAGAGTCCGCAACGCAAGAGGGCATCGCACGTGCTGTGCCTAACGCTGAAGGACACGCCACTGAAAACGTTACATATGTTCTTCCGTGTCTCTGACAAGCTTTTTGCCGTTTCCCATTGAGCAGGAAGTCAGTCATCGCCAAGCGAAAGTGACCACCTTCGACGCCGAACTGCAAAAGCTGGTTTTGAAAGGGGTGTAGCACCTTTGAGGCCGATTCCAAGAATATTCTATGACCAAAACTTAGGAACATTTAGATCTAATAAAAAGCACTGGGGAGTCCTACTGCAGAGCCAACAAGATGTGAAGAGAAATCCCAGAACAAACGGACGGACTTTCTCTTCGAGTAACGGACCGAATGTGAAACGACAATAATATTATCGTGACTTTTCTGAAAGCCATCTCAATGATATTTCCGTTCGCGTATAAGCCATTTTCAAGAGACCATGTCGTACACAGCACAAGAGTGAGCTAAGATTGAGTTGGCAATTGAAAACCCACTGACAAGATTCAAAAGAAATTTAAAAGGCGGTTAAAAGCACGAAAAGCCATATCAAGTAACGCGATTTGCTTCTGCGAATACTCGCACGCTGCCTTCGATGGCGTGGGTTCCGCGAAGTGTCGTGATTCGGACACCATGGTGCGGCATATCTAAATGCCTAAAGAGGCATATTTAAACGTTAGGTCCACCAGTCTAAATATGTGGGATCCTGAGAGAAAAAACATTGAAGAATGCCCTGTCGTCGTTAAATTTCATACTTCCTCGTCGTTTCCATTCTAGATATCTAAGTTGAGTGCCTCCATTTCCTGTTCCGACCAAACTACCGCCGCCATGCCCGGAAATAGATAAACTTTTTTTGCAGAGATATCCACTACGCTCTGTGGATCGACGGCCAAAATTTCCGGTAACTTGCCAAAAAAGCGCTAACCCCTGTATTACGCTCGGGCTTGCGAGGGCGAAGCGGCTGCGTTTGGAGGCCTTCCACATGGAAGCCCGGGTTCGAAACCCCCGCTGACGAGCACGGCTTCCGGGTGACCGCTTTATTGGCCGATGCTAGGTTAGGGGCTGCGAGACGGTGCGTACCGCTACACCTTGCTTAAGCTAGCGCCCATGTTGCACAGTCATGTGAATATATCCCAATATAATCTATCATCCTCTTTGTTCGTCCCTACGTGCATGGATCACAATATCGAATGTGTGTGGTAAAGCGGGCGCGAATTTGCGTAGTGAACCTGGCGCGTGACGAAGCTCGCCTACCGCGCCGCAAGTGCAACGCGGGCGGCGACGGGGCCGAATGCCGCTCGACTCTGCAGCGACCCTGACACCTGAGCGGATGCTGGCTTTTAATGACAATTTTAATACATAACGCGGTCGCGCGAAGCCTGGCAGACCTTCCGTGGCGACATCTACTTGGGGCTACTGACAGGGGAGGGTGTGATTTATGCATGGTCCCGTCTACCAGCAGTAGGGGCGCAGAGTATTGATGACGCGGAAGGATATCAGGTCACTGCCGGTGTACATACAACCCAGCGGATGTCAGCACCAGATCGGATGTAGGCCATCGGATGTCATCGGATGTCAGCGGATGTCAGCGGATAACCCAGCGGATGTCAGCACCAAAACGCCGTCACGCCGGTGCGAGTCGACGTTTGCCGCCGCGGATTGCTGCCGCACTCGCCCTTGCCATCGACCACTAGTGGGCGACCGGGTTACCAGCTCAAACTACAAACGGCGCCGAGGCATCGAAGGGCCGCCGCGAAGCCCTTCGCGAATCCGCCGGCGAACGTGAAACATCGCAGGAACTCGACAATGCTAATAGAAATATCAAGAGCCTGCAGCGGCATTATTACCCGTAACTAAATGCCGAAGCAAATCAGCCCCGACTGAAAACGGCGACAACTTCACAGCGTGACAACACAAGGCGCCGGAGCCGGCCGGGTTGTCGGGCGGAACGTGGCCTGTCGCCGGATCCGGAGCGCCTCCGGCTCCCCAGCGGGACCACGCCCTCCTTCCGGTCAGGGCGACGCCGCTGACTCGCGCCGGACAGTGCGGCAGCAGTACGCCCCGCGCCGCGCCGAGCGCTTCCCCTCCACCTGCGATGTCTCGCGCGCCCGACAGACCCACTCTTGCGGCCGTATGCGGGGCACCCCGAGTAGCTGCCCGGCTTCACGACCGCCAATTAGCTACCGGCTGCCCGCCAGTCGCGCTCGCAGCTGAGGCTTTGCCGCCGCTGATTGGTCGGCGCACAACATCGACCACTTGAATGACAATTCGCTCCCACCGTTGGTTTATACCTCGAATCTAGCTGCGAATTGTTTAGCTCGATCAAAGCCACGGTGAGCGCGCAATCCTAGCACGAGACATTTTGGTTGCCATTATTACTACCCACGTCCCATCCTGGCATATTAACATCTGTCCTCTCAATACACCCTCCGTTATATATATATATATATATATATATATATATATATATATGTTTGTGTGTGTGTGTGTGTGTGTGTGGTGTGTGTGTGTGTGTGTGTGTGTGTGTGTGTGTGTGCGCGTGCGTGCGTGCGTGCGTGCGTGCGTGCGTGCGTGCGTGCGTGCGTGCGTGCGTGCGTGCGTGCGTGCGTGCGTGCGTGCGTGCGTGCGTGCGTGCGTGCGTGGTGTGTGGTGTGTGGTGTGTGTGTGTGTGTGTGTGTGTGTGTGTCCATGACGTAGTATCACATGTCACACCTGACGTCCCAGAGCAACACGAGCGCGGACGCGATCATTCTCTGGGCAATTTAGTAAGCAATTACAGGTTGCATCCCCACTGGAGTTCGATGAAGCGAGGCAACTTTGTCGAGTTCAGATCTGGGAAGTCGGCACGTCGCACTGACCACCGCCTTCAGCCGTCTTCACGAAGGATTCATGCATGAATATGTTGATACCTTCAAGAAGTGATCCGGATTCGCGCATCAGTCTATAAGATCTGGGCGGGTTCAAGCACGTGCCGAACCAGAAGAAACGTCAGTCCCTTCTTGATGGATGTATCTTATTCCCACTATGCTATTGGTGACACACCGACGTATGAACAGCCGAAAGCACGACTTTCTGAGACACTATAGATGTCTCACAATATTTCCGGTGAGCAGCGCCTGGCGAGAGCGGGCGGCTGCTCGGCTTCGGTGCCTGGCTTCGGTGCGTCAGTTTCGGTCCGGACCCACAGAGCGGCGGTAAACAGCCAATGCACCTGACACGCTCTTTAACTCAATAACTAACTGATTGGGCCCACAGAGCGCCGGGGCGACCAGCATCACGCCGGTCACGCGCCCCCGCCCCCCCCCCCCCCCACCGGGACACAACTGACCTTGCGGGAGCCGCCCGTCACCTTGCCCTTGGCCTTGGCCTTCTTGGAGCCGGCGTCCTCGTCATCTCGCTCGCGCTGCTCCTGGGCGTCCAGCTGGGGAGGGGCAGAGGGCGAGGGGGGTCAGAGACCGCGGCCGAGCTAGCCGAGCCCGCCCGGCCAGCTGGGGAGGGGCAGAGGGAGGGGGGGGCTCAAGAGACGGCGACCGAGCCCGCCAGCTGGGGAGGGGCAGAGGGAGAGGAGGTCAAGAGACGGCGGCCAAGCCAACCGAGCCCGCCCGGCCAGCTGTGGAGGGGCCAGAGGGAGAGGGGGGTCAGACGGCAGCCGAGCCAGCCGAGCCCGCCCGTCCAGCTGGCGAGGGACGGGGGGCGAGAGGGTCAGAGACGGCGGCCGAGCCAACCGAGCCCGCCCGGCCAGCTGGGCAAGGACGGATTGAGAGCGGGTCGAGAGACGGCGGCCGGGCCAACCGAGCCCGCCCGGCCAGCTCTCGGAAGTCGGCGCGTGGCGCCCGCCGCGAGCGCCGGGGAGTCCCAGCCAATTCCGCGTGAGGAGAGTGGTCAGCCGAGACGACAAATCTCCCCGCCTGCCGGTGACTTTGCGGCAATCACGCAGGATGCAGTGCGGGATCACCGCCGGCCCACAGGAAAACCGACAGTCACTGGAAAGTCACTGGAGTCCGGCGTCGCATTACCAATCCCGTGCCAGGAATAGGATCCTAGAAGACAATGTGGTGTGAAAAAGGGACCGAAAACGTGGAAATTTGCATCAAGTTACCAATGACAACCATGATATGTTGGCGATGTTGGCAAAACCACTACCACAAATCGGATGAAACAAGCCAGAACACCTTAGTGCCGCGTCATCAAGCAAGGGAGGGGTCAGCCACGACATGAAGCGACAGCACGATCATACGACAAAGCAACCACGGCTTAGAATGGGGTATCATCTCAGCTTGGGTCGGTGGGCGTCAGCTTACGCTGCGTGTGAGCCTCAGTGACCGGGGCACCGGCCGGCACGTGCACCGACGCATACAGCACGCGACGCGACCGGCATCAGCGGGCGTTACAGGGGGGGGGGGGGGGGGGCAGCACCAAGGGCTGCTGGGCGCCGCGCAGGGGCAGCGGCGACGTCTGACCAGCACCGGCCCTGCGACGGCACCGGCCGGCACACAGCTCCCTCTTACGACGAGTGGTGAGCGTCAGTCCGACAAGCTGAAAGGAGAGGCGGCGGCCTGCGCCACAGGCACCCGCAGAAGCACGCGCTTGGATGCGCGGGCGTCACACCCACCTCGGCCATCAGGTGATCCAGGTCCTCGCGCCACAGGTCGGCTGGCTGCTTCGCCTTCAGCGTTTTGAGCTCCTGCAGCTTCTCGTCGCGTTTCTTCAGCAGCTCGTCCTTCTTCTCCTTGGTCAGCATCCACATGTTCATGCCGAGCAGGTAGTCGTAGTCGGGGCCGCCGGCCGTGGCCGCAGCCGCTTCCTCGTCCTGCGAGTCCTGCGAGTCCTGTCCGACACGGAGACGGCGCTGAGTTGGCTGCACCGTACCGGCAGTACAGACCAGTGCCCGCCCGTACGCTATCGCGGTCAGGTACACCGGACGGACGGTGCGGAGACGGTACTCGCATCACCAAATGTGTAGACGGTGCCCAATGGTCTACCAAATGGAGCGACCACAGAAACCAGTGTCGAATCACTCATAGCGACGGGTTCAAAGGGGACCGCTCTGCTCCGCTTAAATTACTTCAGAAACCTGTCCGTTATCAGCGGTGGTGTAAAACTTGGCGACAGTTCGACAGGCCGGTCCGCCTTAGCTATCAGTTCCCGAGCTGATTCTGAACGAGTCCTGTATGCCGTGATGAGTTGCTAAGACGGGGGTCCTGAAACCACGCGATAACCCGCGGCGGGGGATCCCGCGGCGGGGGATCCCGCCCACCCGGTCCGAGCAGCGACACCAACGGGCGGCGGCGACGAGCGTGACGCGCACGCGACACGGCTTGCGCGCTGCAGCGCTGGGCCTCTGCGGCAGTGCGCCGGGCCTCTGCGGCGCGCCTGCAACCGGGCTTCCGCACCGCTGCGCCAGGCCTCTGCGACGCTGCGCCGGCTCTCTGCGGTGCTGCACCGGGCTTGCGCGCTGCAGCGCCGGTCCTCTGCGATGCTACCGGGGCCTTTGCACCGCTACGCCAGGTCTCTGCTGCGCTGCGCCGCGCCCTCCGCGCCGCAGTGCCGAGGCCTCCGCGGCGCTACCCCGGGCCTCTACGGCGCAGCGGCCGGGCCGCTCCGCCGCCAGTGGACGGGCAGGGACCGTGGCCGGGACAGGCAGTAGCGACGGATAGCAGCCACGGGGACCCTCTCACGCGCACCGCCAGCGGGGCCGGCGGGAGCCCAATACCGGCGGCCGACGGGCTTTTTCCCGCCCTGTTCCCGTTCGTCTCAGGAAAGGCGCTCGTAGCTGGATTTTAGTTTGCGTGTCGGGCTGGTACGTTTGCGCGCGAGCGCAAGCCTGTGCCCCGCGCCCGAGGGAGCACAGCACGCTCAGCTGAGCCGCTGACGGCGCCTGTGAGTGAGGAAGTCAGGCGCCACACTGGTGAGAGTAAGTGAGAGAGTGGAGGAGAAGAGCAAGACAATGAGTGGAGCGTGAAGATGGGATTGTTGCAACCCATGCCAGTGTTAAGGCTAAGGTTAGAGCACCACGCCTCTTTGATATTCACTATGCTTAAGAGAGCTAAACTGAACATTAGCGTTATCACACGACATGGACGGTAAGTGATATGTTATACCCAGCCCATTACAGAAATGGAGAGTGTAAAGCAAAGCGCACAAGATTTAAAAGACAACAGCCAACGGCCAAACCGCACCCAACGCCTGTCCAAACCATGCAAAAAATGTTTTAATTCCAGCGCTTGATCTATCTGAGAGACACAGAGACCACATCCACATCTGCTTCAGGCCAGTCCAGACCCAACTCCGACGCTTGGCGCCTTGAGCGTGTGAGCGAGATCGCGGCAGTGGTGTCCCCAGAGGCGTGCCGTTCGAGCCGGCCGCCGCCGCCGTACCCACCGTGGGCTCCTCGTCCAGCTGCTGCTGCTGCGCCAACTTCCACGCCTTCACCCGGGTCCGAGTCATAGCCGCGCTTCGCCAGCTCGGCGATCATGTCCTTCTTCTTCTTGTTCTCGATCGTCAGCTTGCCGTCGCACTTCTCGAGGATGAACCTGCGGAGTAGTAGGAGGAGGAAGTCAGGACGGCCCAAACACCGGATCAGCTCCCAATCTCCCTGCAGAGCTGCGTTCGGAAGCCTTTGTTCGAACCGGCCGCTTACAATTCGTCGTGTATTCAAATAACAGCACGCTGCAGCGCCTTAAGTCAAGCGAGTTAAGAAATACGCTCCAGCTTCCAGGAACTGCACAGACGTCTTAGAAAGGCAAGGCCCCGAAGGGAGCTTTTCGTGGCACGTGCCGCTATGACATGGCCACTCAGACCGATTCACTTATCTCCTGGATGGTTTCAAAGTTTGCGTCTGCCTTTACCGTCGCATTGGGGGCACGCGTCGCCACTCCCGGCTGTGTGGCCAGCATGACAAGACGCCTCCAGCAGCATTCAGGTGCCACGCCAATTTTCGTGCCGTGCCACGCTCAACTTGGAAGATTTACTAAACAAGCCAACATTTCGCAACGGCCTCGCAGGAAATGGTACTCAACTCACGGCCTACATAGACATGGTTGCGGAAACTGCTGATATTAGCGCCGGCTTGCTGGACACCGAGCTATTTTTTGCACATCTCAGGCAAGAATCAATGAAAGTAAGTCAAGTTAGTTCAAGTCAAGTTGGTCGGTCAAGAGAACAATATGCGTCTGTGTGCGTGACATGAATGGGCAATCTCATCCCGTGACACTGGTTTACTTTTTCTTTTGAGGTGTCATTGCGTACAAAATCATATACTGTTCATCATTGTGCCCTCAACATGCGCGGTATGTTCGAACTTGTGTAACCCGCTACTAGATGGGCATACTGCTTAACATCACAATTCTAACATGACAAAAAAGCAACAAACTTCGAAGCCGTTATTCGTTTTTGAAGCAATACAATCATTCATTGTTTTCGATCATAGATTTTCCTGTCCACAGACCCGCGCGGCTTACAGCACGTCCACACAAACTGGCTGGTCTCGCGCTGTCTGAGGCTGATGTGGGCTGAAAGAATCAACTGTTTTCCTCTGAACCGGTAACAAAAGTAAAGCGGCGCATAAGCAGCAGCAGCTGAGCCGGTTCTTTACACGAGCCCTTGTTGAAATAACAACGCTAGGAGATGACAAGTACAGCCTCTTAAATCTAGTCCAAACCAATTTAAAATTCATCGCACAAGGCATCAGTGAAAATAACCTGGGCTGCACATGGGGCCGTGGAGAATTGGTTGCACCACTGTTTTCAAATATATGGTTAGTCTTAGCACGCGAGACTTGGTGGTTCCTTTGCACACGATAATTCAGGTACTGAAAATTTCACATTTTAATGAAGCATACCCCGGTGGGATAAAACTCGCCGCCCAAATGGAAAGTCGGGCAGGCAAAATAGAGCACATAAGCATCTACATGTACTTTGGTTTGTGATTAAATAATTTGTTTATTTCGGACCACTTCTACCACCATTGCGCGCTTAATGCGTGAGATACGGCATTAGAAACGCGCGAGACATGACGTAAAATTTCCTAGTTCTCTTGCCTGAGCCGTGAGAAAAAAATCGGTTCAAACAGCTGACGATAATGCCGGGGGTCCTAACTCAGCTCACATTGCCAGCGTGGCCTCCTAGCATTTTAGCCGCTGAGGTATCACCTGGCATACCATAGTCGTCTCCGTGAAAAATTCCAACAAACATATGATTCTGCCTAACGTATAGCGCAGCAGAACCTTGGATTCCATTTCCGGAAGGAAGAGGAGATCGGTTCTCTGGTTGCGGCTGCGTCACCTCCGGCGGCTGTTCAATTCATCCGTTCCCTTTTCAGAAGTTTCACTCAGTAAACTCCCCACTCTGAAGTCAGCGGCGTGTACACAGCAGGGCGCGGGAACATGCCCAGCTGAATTCCAAAGCGATGAGAAACGCCCATAGGTTCCCAACAGAACGCCGAAGGCCATGGCGGCGGAGGGCCTGTTGGAAATAAGGCTTTTGAATGGGTCCAACGAAGACGACAGATTCCATCGCACCGGAGGGAATTGAACCACTCCGACACCGCTCCTCGGTGGGGGTGGGGGGGGACACAACCTCGCCATCTGGTGGCCATCTTTTCGGCTTGTGCAAGGGCGGGGTAACTTCCCACACAACCTACTGGTCGGGGAAACCTTGGACCTATCGCCCATGTTCGTGCCTGGCTGTGATTGTTCATGCTCCTTGAGTCTGGTTGAGGCCTGTTTGAACAAAATGCGAATTCCAAACGCCGTTCAGAATACGTGCTGTTCAAAGTCTGCCTTATAAATGAGAATGCATAGAGGTAGTTTCTCAGCTCTGGCCCGGCACTGCCCACTGCGTTGCACGACAACGTTTTTCGGGTGTGTTCGAGGGGCCCTGTGAAAGTGTGAAGTCTTCGATGGTCCCCCTTCCCCCCCCCCCCCCACCTAACCAGAAGTGTAACCCCGACAACTGTTATTAGCAAACTTGAATGAACGCGACAGGCGTGGCAGACTTAGACCATGAAGCGGATCATGAAGTTGGGTGTCGTACAATTGCGGAGCTGCCATCCTGTTAACCTCGAGGCTCCGCTATCTCAGGTCAGACACCACACCAGCAAGTCACAGGTCTCCTCCGGATCAAACTCCACCTCGGGTAACAGTAAAATGTCGCCATCCAGCGAGCGGTAATCGGTCTCGAGTCACCACATCCTAGCGTACAGACTGCAGCGAGTGACCCAGTGCCTGAAATTTGGGTGTTCCTTGGTGTTTGGTGCCAAGACATTTCATTCTCCACAAAGATACACTTGCAACAATATAAAAAATTGTCCTCTGTGTAGAACGTGAGATGGAAATAAGCCATCCCGCAACTTCGACAGCGTCGCGTGTCATACCACCACGACTTAACGAGGCAGCGCTACTCGCTGGTCTCGGCCGAATCTTTTTATCATGTCGCACAGCCTTTCCCTTCCCGCCCTCACTGCCCAGGTCCGACCCTCCTCACCAGCACACGTTTAACCTACCCACATATCGTCCACCAACGACACCAACGCGCTCAGACGCCCGATTCCCAGTGGCGCACTCAAAACAACCGCCTCTCGTGGTTGGGCGGATAGCCAAGGAGAACGGAGAGAACAGAGAATATGTCGTGAACGTGGTGATCCAATGCTTCTAGAACGCATGCTGACAATACAAACACACATTATATATGTATATATACATATATGAGTTTATACATGCACTATATATATATATATATATATATATATATATATAGCATTAACTAAAAATACATTAGGTACAGAATAAGTGTTCGTACTTTGTTACGCTACTTTCATTGAATTTCCACTCAAAGCAATAAAAATGCAGATTGCGTATAAGGCATAACGGTGACGTCAAACACCGTCCTAAACACTGACTTAGGCACGCGGAATCTAGGGCTCCAAAGCCTCTGACTCTTGGGGAGGATTTAGTTAGCATTGGAGAGAAGGTATGCTCTCCATCAAAAATCAGAGCTGAATGCAGGATGAAGACGCGAAAAAGGGGCATTAGACAACAGCCGTTTTCCTTTCCATCTACGAGCCTCGCCACCAACTTATGGTATGAGTGTAAAGCTAAGACAGGGTTTGTCGTTCTCCGTTGGGCTTTTGGTTTGGCACTGAAATAATTATTCGCGTTTTATAAATTCACCTTTCTTTTCATCTGGGTTTTCCTAATGAACAATTTCTGTGAAATTATTAAGGTCTTAGAAAGACAACCGCAAAACCGATCAACAACACACAGCAGCTCTGTCGTTGAGAAGAATGCTACTTTGTGGTGCCTTTTCTGTAGCATTCTGAGTGTCCGACGTTTCCTAGAAGAGCCGCGTGGGAGCCGCGTCGGGCAGTGACAGTGGAACTGATTGAGAACAAAAAGACAATACATAGATTCAGCTCAGCGTCATACAGTGAGGTAAGTAATGTATCAGACTCAACGTCGGCGAGTAGATATAGCGGATGTTCGCTATGTAGGGTTGGTTTGCTTTATGAGAAGGAAATAATCCCTACGCCTCTGCTGCATTGACCTCGAGCCCCGACCACGCATCAGTCTGACGTCCCAGATGGTTGCAGTTTGCCCACGAGACTGGGAAGGTGGGTGAGTAGAGACAAAGTTTCAAGCCAAATAAATGGTTTGCAACCATGCTTTCTCCCGACTTTGACAAATTTCTGCCTCAACTTTCGTCTAGGGGCTAGAATCTCACCCACTGAATAGGAAACATCCCCTGTCTCCAAATCATTATGTACGTATATATTTATATAATAATGCATTTTACATGTAATACAATATATACTCATATAATCATTTTTTATAAGAATATCATGGATATAGCATATGTGTGCATGTCAGAAACTTTAGTGGTTATCACATCGCTCCAGCACGTCCCCCTCAGGGAGGAAAGATGGTACTTTGGCTGGTACTTAGCCACACTAAATACTATATGCCAGATGTTTCTTTCTATATCATAGAGGCTTGCATCGCATTTCTATCATAAGATTGTCGTAATGTGCTCTGAGAAATTATGCAACAGGTGCACCACATTTTAAGTATTGGTTTCTTTCGACCTTAATTGAGACTTACGCCTTTATAAATATAACTGTCAATATGAACAACTTTCTATACGCACCATTGTTTCAAAAAGTACAGTAGGTGGGAGCATACGCTTCACAAGAAAACACCTTTTAAGAAACCAGAAAATTTCATAATTACAAGCAGCAAATCTGTAATGGTCTTTGGCAATCACTGAGACCATCTGGTGTATGGCGTTTACCGTCAACTACTGCTTAACAATGTCTTTTACTACCAGTTGTATTCAAAGCGCAAATTCATATGGGCTATTTTGTTTTCAGAAGTCGTCCTTTTAAAATTTATATTTCCTCTCCCCGAGACCCAAAAGCAAATTTCAGACAC